GGGGGGGGGGGGGGGGGGGGGGGGGGGGGGCTGCCACCCCTGCCCCCCCCCCCCCCCTTAAAATACGCCACTGGGTATGAGTATCTTATTAAGAGAGAGAACTCTCTCGTCTTTGACAAGGGATGTCGTCATGGGAAAAAAATGCCTCTTGATATCCCTACCTAAACCTGAACCTTCAAGGTAGGTTGGGAAATGCGAAAAGAGTTCGACGCGCAGCGTCTATAGATAAGACATTGCACGAGTTCAGCTAGCATCCCTGCATCTGCTGCCATGCACTCTGCCATGTATGCGCTTTCTCCGTGTGTCCACATTGGATCTGTCAGCTATTGGACGGCTGAAGGGAATCTAGCAGCTCTGGGTGGAGACACGGCACCCCGATGTAGGTAAAAACTGTTGATTTGCTTTGAGGTCGAGCTTCAAGGAGGCTGAAGGCCTTCCATGCCGTGAGCTAATTTCAAAACTTAAAATCCTCTATTAAATATAATTTTGACACGAAGTTTTCCAGAAACGAACTTAGCCCAAAATCCCTAAATCAGCTTATTGTCTCATATTTATCTGCATATCACATTTCACACTGATCAGGACAATATTTTCTTAGTGATGGTCGGACGACTACAGTGTGTGGCACACGCAACGGAAAATGGGTCTCCTTTTAGGAAAATGGATCCCCTAAAAAGGAAGAAAATCACACTCTTGAACTGGAGGATGCTCAATGCCAAGTACCCAGGGTTGTCAATCTTCGGGAATATTTTTGGTGAGGACACAAAAAACATCTGGCTTTGAGTTCCTTCCTCTTCCAGTCAAAGGATGTGTTGTTTTGGAGCAGGAGGACTTCGCTTTTTAGTTATTTTTGTCGTTTCAGCTCCTTCAAGTCCAGAGGTCCTGACTATTCCTGTGAAACGACTATTTTTTTTTTGGCCGGCTCGGCCATGGTTCATCGATAGGTCGTTATAAGATTTTCTCCTCTGGCTTCTTTCGAGTTAACAAGAACCTGAGTGACTTATACTCTCTAGGGTGCCCAAAGTGGAGCTCACGGCCACATCCAACACACTAAGTGCCTTAGAGAACATCCACTTTGGGCACCCCTGGGTCTAGAGAATGGGCCATTATAAAGTGACATTCCGTTGGAGGCGCAGGAGAAGAGAGGAGTGCAGGAGAAAAACTGCAGGGATTGAACAACAGTTTCTACGAGTTAGAATCGGCAGTAGTCACTGCGACATCCTTCATTTCTCGGCTGATAAAAGGGAAGGAGCATGGCTCTCCCGTCTTCGCACCGTAAAATGCAAAATCTGATGCTAATTCCTTGTTATAAACAGGTTGTTTCTGGTCTCAACTCTCATCTGCAACCTC